AGCCCGCCTGCGGGGGCGAATCTGGGGCGGCTGCGGGCAGCGGAGCCTCGGACGACTTCAGCGGGGAGCGTGGGGACAGCGCCAGACTAACATACACCCTCATGCAGAGAGACGATGTTTGCACCCAGTCATGTAATCAAACCCAGTTTCTCTTCAATAGATTTAAAGATCATCATCTTCTACCCTGCCGGCCCCCGGCTGCGCGGCGCTGTGCTGCGCACACCCGGACTGCGGGCAGGGGTCGGCGGCTGAGAAGTGTTGCGGGGAGCCAAGGCAGGGGCGCCTCCATGGAGGCAGGATGGAGGCCAGGCTGCCCTCCCCCAGAGGTCATCTCCGGCCAGAGCAAGGCCACCACACAGCTGCGCATACACTTTCCCCAGAGGCCTGCCCCAGCCTTATGGATGGACAGCCTGGTCTGGGGCAGAAAAACCTAACTAAAAACAACTTTGCTCCCTTGAGTTACTCCATTTCCCCTCATGGGGCTGATTCTCAAAGCAGCTTACCCACCCACTTTATTCATGGCCTTGTTAGGGCTGTCAGGTGCACAGTGAGCAGTTTGTGCACGCAGCAAATCCAGCCATCTAGGAAGTCACTGATCTTTTTCTCCCTCAGAAAGCTGTTGGGATAGAGCACAAGATACGAAGTGTAGTTGCTGAGCTGCATTATGGGCAATCGTTGTAATTCTCCCAGCCCACAGCTGATGCTCCATTCTCCACTTTCTTGATCACTCATTTAATATAAAATCATTTGAGAGAGAGAGGGACAGGCATCCACAGTGATGCGTGTCCAGTGAACTAGCTCTGCATGCAGTGATGTGCAGCATTTAACACACAGCTTACCTGGCACAGGGACCGGCCCTGGCTGATTTAGAGCGTTCACCAGGAGGATCCCACAGCTCTCGGCATGTTCCCTCCCCCTCACCCCCACAACTTTCTAGTGACCCTCTGTGATAACAACTGACAAAAAGCATGACAAAAATGAAGGCTCAGGCATGTATCTAAATAAAACATGGAGTGATACATAAACCAAGAGAGTAAAATACAACAATTGCCTGCTGAATGTGCTCCAGCCCAGACAGAGTTGTTTAGCATGAGAAGTGGCTCAGTCTAAAGTGTGCATTTAGACTAATAACTTATAACCTTGAATAAAGTGTCTGAAGGAGACAGGGAATCAAGTCTGAGTCCTCATGTAAACATAGACGATTTTTGCACTCATTCATGTAATTAAACTCAATTGCTCTTTAATAAATTTAAAGATGTATAGTACCATGAATATTTTTGTTACTGTTAAGTTAGTTCTCCCTTCCCTAACACTCCAACGTTTATCAGCCCTACTGCTGCAGTGTTGTTTTAAGTTGCAATTTCTGTGAGGGTAGTGGTCAGGTCTCCAAAATTGTTTGTAGGAAAAACTACCAAGCAGTTTCTTAATTGGGAGCAAAGGCACTCTGGGAATACAAATAGGTTGATTGCTCAACAGGAATTATCACTTCCATGCAGACATACTTCAGATTTCTTTTCTTAGCTGGGATTGCTTCCTTTTACCCTAGTGATAAATAATAAATGCAATACAAGAGTGCTAATGGAATACACCTCTGATATAGTGTCTCTGTTTCACATTTTTCTTCCAAACTGTGTGTGTGTGTGTGTGTGTGTGTGTATACACACACATGCACTCTCACACATGCACACACACAATCACACGCACACACACTTCAGCTTCTACTTACAAAGAGAGCCTCTGTAATCATTCATTCACTTTAATGTATTTAAAATAGTAAGTAGGCATAAAATAGCATTTGTACCCTTGGGATGCAACCTACCGACAGAGGTTAAGGCTGGGAAGTCTAATGTGTTCACTTGTTTATACAAACAAAGCTGTCTCATAAATAAGCACAGACGGAGTTAACACCAGTTGCTAAGCAGGTGTATTAATCTATTCTTGTAATCTGGGCTAATTCTATCAATAGAGAGATTCAGATGCTCATGTGGTATTTGAATTGGAGGATGTCGCAAAGGGCTCTGTTGTCATCTCTGGCATCCTAGATTTGAGAGCTTTGCAGGGTCATCGCTTTTAGGCCAACAAAGTTCAAAACCTGGACCTGTCCTCAGCCTAGAACTCACCAATCCTCAGTCACTCTGCCTCTAAGGCCATCACTGCCCCCTTCCCTTTGGCAGAAATGGATAAATGAACCCAAACTCATCCTCACCCAGGACACCACCAAGAACAAGAATAAGTCCTTCCTAGACC